AGCTTATTTTATAATCGTGTGTCTTATACCACGTAGTGACTCTCCATTACCAAAAACAACATTCATCTCTTGCTCCTTGACATTTTCCAGAATGGAAATTTTCTCAATGAGTTTTAATTCCCACACCTTACTGGCAACGCATGCTGTGTTTCTATTCTCATCTACTCTCAAATATGCTGCAGCAGCTACTATATACTTGGAAACGAAACTGACGAACTAGCCTTACTTGGATTCAAGTCCCAAATAACTGAGGATCCATCAAGAGTTTTCGCCTCTTGGAACCAATCCGTTCATTTATGTCAGTGGACTGGAGTAAAATGTGGCCTGACACAGGAAAGGGTGAGTCTGGCAGGTACAATCTCAGATCATCTCGGAAATCTTTCTTTGCTCAATTCTCTTGACCTGGCAGAAAATTCATTCCATGACGGAATTCCTCAAGAACTCAGCAGGCTGTCAAGGCATCAAAACCTGAATTTGAGTTTTAACTATCTAACAGGGGAAATTCCAGTTAATCTATCACATTGTGTTAACCTCAAGAGCCTTGTGCTGGACCACAACACTCTTGTGGGACTGATTCCTTACCAAGTTGGATCTTTAACAAAGTTAGTGAGATTGTATCTCAGAAATAACAACCTGACAGGAATCTTTCCAGTGTCTATTGGAAATCTTACATCTTTAGAAGAGTTGTATTTATCGTACAACAGTCTAGAGGGACAAGTGCCAGCTTCTTTAGCTCGATTGACCAAGTTGAGACTGCTTGGATTGTCAGTAAATAGCTTCTCCGGGGAGTTCCCTCCTTCCTTGTACAATTTGTCATCCCTGGAATTAATAGCACTTTCCTTCAACCACTTTTCTGGTAATCTCAGATCTGATTTAGGCCACTACTTCCCTAATCTCCAAAGACTTCACTTGGGGAACTGTCAATTCCATGGCTCCATACCATCCTCTTTGGCCAATGCTTCAAAATTGCTACAGCTTGATTTCCCTGTAAACAAATTCACTGGAAATATACTAAAGGGTTTTGATAACTTGCAGAATTTGTTGTGGCTCAATGTTGGGAGTAACCATCTTGGATACGGTAAGAATGATGACCTTGACTTTGTAAATTCTCTTACCAACTGCAGCAGTCTACAAATGCTCCATTTTGGAGACAACCAGTTTGTAGGTACATTACCTCATTCAACAGTCAACCTTTCTAGTCAGTTACAACGCCTACTCTTCTTCGGGAACAGAATTGGTGGAAGCATACCCAGAGAGATCTCAAACCTGGTGAATTTGAATCTACTCGACATGAGCAACAATAATCTTACAGGTAGCATTCCAGATTCTATTGGAAGACTTGCAAACTTGGGAAGTCTTGACTTGCGTAACAACCTCTTGACAGGGGTAATCCCTTCTTCAATAGGCAACCTCACTGAACTCGTCTATCTTTATTTAGGATTTAACAGGTTAGAGGGTAACATACCTTTAAGGCTTTAACCTTGGGAAATTGTAACCAACTGCTAAGATTGGACATTTCTGAAAACAACCTGACTGGATCTATACCACAACAACTTATTGCTCTCTCATCCCTCACAAAAGTTTATGCATATTATAACTCTTTGACTGGCACGTTACCAGTGCATATTGGGAACTGGAGTCATCTTACTTATCTAGATTTTTCTTTCAACAATTTTTCGGGTATGATTCCACGATCTCTGGGAAAATTCTTGTCCCTGGGGGAGATCTATATGAAGGGGAACTCCCTCCTAGGGACCATTCCCGATTTAGAAGATTTGCAGGATCTCCAGTCCTTGGATCTTTCCCTCAATAACCTATCAGGGCCAATCCCTCACTTCATTGCAAATCTTACTTCCTTACTCTACTTAAACTTATCTTTTAACAATCTAGAGGGTGAGGTTCCTATCACCGGAATATTTTCAAATTTGAGTACATATGGATTTGTCAGTAATTCCAAGCTTTGTGGTGGGATTCAAGAGCTACATTTACGACCCTGTGTTTATCAAGAAACTCAGAAGACACAGAAGAAGGATGTACTTTCCCTCAAGTTAATTTTGACAATTGTTTTTGCTGCTTCATTTTCAATCCTGGCCTTGTTAATAGTTTTCCTTTGTTGGAGAAGAAATTTGAAAGATCAACCAGAACCAGAAGTTAGGTCAGAATCTGCACGTTTCTACCCCAATATTTCTTATGAAGAGCTCCGCATTGCAACTGGTGGATTTTCTTCTGAAAATCTTATTGGCTCTGGCAGTTCCGGAACTGTTTACAAGGGAACTTTTGCCTCTAATGGAATGGTTGTTGCTGTCAAGGTACTCAATCTCCTGCATCAAGGTGCTTCAAAAAGCTTCATAGCAGAATGCCAAGCATTGAGAAACATTAGGCACCGGAACCTTGTCAAGGTCATCAGCGCATGCTCAAGTTCTGATTTCAAGGGAAATGAGTTTAAAGCTTTAGTCTTTCGGTTCATGCCAAAAGGGAACTTGGATGAATGGCTACATCCGGAAAGGGAGATACAAAAGAGTAGTTTGACCATACTTCAGAGAATGAATATCATAATAGATGTGGCCTCTGCACTTCATTATCTTCACCATCAGTGCCAAACACCCATGATTCACTGTGATATCAAACCACAGAACATTCTTCTTGATGAAGATCTAACAGCTCATCTGGGCGATTATGGTTTGGTGAGACTCGTTCCTGGATTCAGTAATGGATCGGAACTACATCAGTTTAGCTCACTTGGAGTTATGGGAACCATTGGCTATGCAGCTCCAGGTAAAGTTTCTAGGTGAACAGAAACTGTGAGTACACCATATGATTTCTTCTAACAATAGTGGTTTATTTATAAGCTGAATTTGCTTGTTGCAGAATACGGCATGGGTAGTAAGGTTTCCATTTTAGGAGATGTGTACAGTTTTGGGATTCTCATATTGGAGATATTCACTGGAAGAAGACCCACAGACACTTTGTTTCAAGCAAGCTCTAGTCTCCACCACTTTGTGGAAACAGCATTGCCTGAGAAAGTTATGGAGATTCTAGAAAATAAAGCTTTTCATGGTGAGATGACAAGTATATCAACCAATGGAGAAGAATACTGGGGGAACATCAAGAAAGAACAGATGGAATGCTTGGTTGGCATACTTGAGATTGGTGTTGCATGTTCAGCTGAATCCCCAAGAGACAGATTGACCATGAGACAAGTTTACAGTAAGTTGACACTAATAAGAGAAAAATTTCTAGGAGCAGAAGATGTATGAAGAGGAGATTGAGGCCACGGGCAACAAGTGAAAGCATTGGATCTGATCTAAGATGTTTTGCTAGTCTTACATTCTGTCTATTTGGTAAGAAAACATTGTAGTCTTTCTAAAACTTTGAAGTCGCTGTAGTATTTTCAGCATGCAGAAGAACTAAGGTAGTATCAAATTTCTTCTTACTTAATGGGCTTAGTTTAGGAACATCAGATGTTAGTTCTTAACTTCTACATTAGATGCATCTAATAAACCACGGAAAGGTAGATACAGCCGAAGTTGATAAAATTAGTTAACTGAGCCAGAACTCAGCATCTACAGAAAGCTTGATTCAATCATTGTATTGCTTATTGATATTCCTACAAACATTGAAAAAATCAAATCTCTGTTTAGTTAACAATTCCCTCATTAACAAGAGACTGAAGATAAGCAAATTGACTAATGCTGTGTCAAAGAAAATTTTACTCATTGAGAGGGGAGAATTAGGCAGACATCCTTTGAGGTTTGAATTGTCGAACGCAACAATACTCAAAGTGTTTGTAATCAAATATTAACTACACTCCGAAATACGATTCTATTGATACAGGCAATAAAAACTGGGGCTAAAAACACTAATGTCAAGTTATAAGTAAGCCCTAGATCACAGAAAACTGAGAATCATATTGAAATTACAAGGATTAACACACAGTACCTAAAAAGCATAGGAATTCATTTACAGTAACGGTCTGCTTTCTTCTTGACCCGGTCATCAAGGGCATCTTCTACGGACTTGGCTTTAGCATTCGGGTCGTACCCGAATTTCTTGGCCTCAACAGGGAACAAATCATCGTATTTCCTGCGCTTAGCGGCGTCAATCGTAAACATATCCTCAGGAGCGTCAGCTTGTTGCTCAGTAGCGGCAAGGGCGGCGTCACCGGTTAAAGGCTCATCGGAAACGACGTCTTCGGCAGACTTGTTCTTCTTTTTCTTCTTCTTCTTATCGATTGCTTTGCTGCGGCTGGCTACTGCGCCTCCTTTGAACATCAACCGACCTCCGGTCACTCTCTCGTATGGGTCCGACATGGATCCTTGCCTTCGATGCTTTGTTCTCTGTTTTATCGCAGCTACGAGCTTGAAGGGGATCTCTAAAGGGTTAATTCCTGCTGATTTTCCTAACTTCACAAGTAATAAGGTTTTGTAACACAAACTTCGAAAAAGGGCATATATTTAATAACTAAAGTTAGCTCAGTTTGTATAGAATTTTGATTTGTTTAGATATCAATTGAAAAAAATTATACATTTAATAATTATGACTTGTAATATTTTTATGAAGTTTTGTGAATTTGTTTTCAAGTTTTATTTTTTTTGAATTCACACTAAATAATGATTAATTTGATCTTTATACTTGAATAGAATTATATAAATTGAAACACGAAAAAGATAAAATAATTCTAAAAAATGTCAGATTAAAAATATACATAATTGCTGCAATGTTTTGAACCTGTGTTTACTCAAACTATTTTTTTCACATCAAAGTAACTAAATTTTATATGCTATAACAATTTAAGTCATTGGATTTTATCTACTAATTTTATTTGCTATAACAATAAAGTCTCAAATATAATCTTCGTACTCCATATACATTTACATGAATTTAGACAAAATATACCAGTGATTTTTTTTTTTGAAACTTTCAAACTATATATTTTCTAAAAACTTGAACTTATATATTATGATATGTTTTTTAATAGTAAAGTAATAGGTCACTTTTACCTGGGATGATTTGTCATGTTTACAAAGGCTACTAATGTTATCCAAGTTACTGTCACTCAAACATTGTTGATCACTTTGTGTTAATTAAATAGTACAACTAAATTTTCTGCTTACTACACTTTTTTTTCCTTGCCAACAAGTTGGGTTTCTGTCCTCTTAGTTCTTGAACTTCTAAAAATTTAATCTTTTTTTGTTATCCTTGCAACACAATGGGAAGTTCAAGAGCTAAAAATCCATGGGGTGTAATTAGAATCTTCTCCAAGAGATTCTACTGTGGCTTCAGGTTTTTTTCTTTCTTTCTTGTTATTACTATTTTTTTCATTGTATTTTGGTTTATGGAACATTTCTAATTCAATGTTGATTATGAAATGTAGTGAACGAATTGTTAATGTTCCAGTAGATGCCCGCATTGTTAAAACGGGTTTTGACCCAGAAATCTCTCGTTTTAACTTCAAACTGAAGGATTTAGTAAGAGCAAATCAAATAGCAAAGGCACGTCAACTGTTTGATGAAATGCCTTACAGAAACACTAGCTCTGTGAACATGATGGTTTCGGGTTATGTGAAGTCTCGCAATCTTTTTCGTGCTAGGGAGTTATTTGATAGCATGTTCTCTCGTAATGAAGTTTCATGGACTATAATGATTGGTGGTTACTCTCAGAACAATCAGCCCAAAGAAGCTTTTAATCTTTACACTGAGATGTGTAGGTCGGGGGTTAAGCCGGATCATATCACCTTTGCAACTCTATTATCAGGTTTTGATGATACAACTACTTTAAAAGAAGTACTTCAGATTCATTCCCATATCATTAGATTTGGATTTAGTGCAAGTCTTATTGTTTTCAACAGTCTGGTAGATTCGTACTGCAAAACTTGCTGCCTCGATATAGCGTCTCAGCTCTTCAGTGAAATGCCAACTAAAGATTCAGTAAGCTTCAATGTGATGATAACAGGGTACACAAAATACGGTTTTCGTGAAGAAGCATTGAAACTTTTTATGCAAATGCGGAATATGGATTTTCAGCCTTCAGGTTTTACTTTTGCAGCAATGCTAGGTATGAGTGTTGGATCAGAGGATGTTATTTTTGGCCAACAAATTCATGGACTTGCCATCAAGACAAGCTATGTCTGGGACATATTTGTTGCAAATGCATTGCTTGATCTCTACTCTAAGCATGACTATATAGATTTAGCAAAGAATCTCTTTGATGAGATGCCCCAGTTAGATGGTGTTTCGTATAACATAATTATCACAGGTTATGCATGGAATGGGCAGTATGAGAAATCGTTTGATCTCTTCAAAAGGCTACAAGGTACATCATTTGACAGAAAGAACTTTCCGTTTGCCACGATGTTGAGTGTAGCTGCAATAGAACTAAATTTATCAATGGGAAGACAAACCCATGCACAGGCAGTGGTGACAGCAGCTGTTTCAGAAGTACAAGTAGGAAATGCCCTTGTTGACATGTATGCAAAGTGTGAAAAATTTGAGGATGCCAACAGAATATTTGCAAATCTGGCCTACAGAAATTCTGTTCCATGGACAGCCATAATCTCAATATATGTTCAGAAGGGTTTTCATGAGGAGGCACTGAAAATGTTCAAGGAGATGAATAGAGAAAATGTTCACGGTGACCAGGCAACTTTTGCTAGCACTTTAAAAGCTTCAGCTAATTTGGCTTCAGTTTCTCTTGGGAAGCAATTACACTCATCTGTGATCAGATTGGGATTGTTGTCTAGTGTTTTTTCTGGCAGTGTTCTTGTAGACATGTATGCAAATTGTGGGTCCATGAAAGATGCAATTGAAGTTTTCAAAGAGATGCCCGATAGGAATATAGTATGTTGGAATGCACTGATTTCGGCATATGCTCAGAATGGTAATGCTGAGGCCACATTTAGCTCATTCGCGGATATGATTGAATCAGGTCTCTACCCTGATTCTGTTAGTTTCCTCAGTGTCCTAACTGCCTGCAGCCACCGTGGGCTTGTTGAAAAGGCATTATGGTATTTTAATTCCATGACTCAAGTATATAAACTTGATCCAAGGAGAAAACATTATGCAACCATGATTGACGTGTTATGTAGAAGTGGACGATTCAATGAAGCAGAGAATCTGATTTCTGAAATGCCATTTGAACCGGATGAGGTCATGTGGTCCTCAGTTTTAAATTCATGCAGAATTCATAAGAATCAAGACCTTGCCAAAAAGGCTGCAGACCAACTTTTCAAGATGGATGCTCTTAGAGATGCCGCTGCTTATGTCAACATGTCTAACATCTATGCAGAAGCAGGCAAATGGGAAAATGCGGCAAAAGTCAAGAAGGCTATGAGGGAACGGGGAGTTAAAAAGGTCACTGCCTATAGCTGGGTTGAGATTGACCACATAGTTCATGTATTCACAGCAAACGATAGGACCCATCCACAAACTGAGCAGATTAGAAGAAAAATTAACTCATTGGTTGAGCTAATGGACAAGGAAGGATACAAGCCTGATACAAGTTGTACCCTTCAAAATGTGGATGAAGAAATGAAAATAGAATCACTCAAATATCACAGTGAGAGGTTGGCCATTGCGTTTGCATTGATTAATACTCCAGAAGGATCACCCATTATCATTATGAAAAACTTGCGAGCTTGTGTGGATTGTCATGCTGCAATTAAAGTTATCTCAAAAATTGTTGGAAGGGAGATCACCGTGCGAGATTCAAGTAGGTTCCATCACTTTAGAGATGGATCATGTTCATGTGGGGATTACTGGTGAGATATGGATGGATGATTTTCGGATCATTTCATTCGGTTTGTGCTTTCCATAGTCTATAACCGGAAGTCATAAACATTTGGGGACTTCAGCAATTTATTCCTTGGATGATGATGCTAATCAAAATTTACTTTAAGGGATGGGCGTAGCCTAATTGCAGCTCTGATCCAAAGCTTGTGGTCGTGAACTGTTGCAATTATGGTCTCTCTAAGTTGGGCTTTTGAACTTCTGTAATGAAATACATGAAGAACCAAGTTCTACTTTTTCTTGAAGAACATTCCATCTCTTTTCAAGAGCTCACTGGTTTTCTCCCTAAACCACAAATTATTCTTTCAACAATAAGAACAGGATTTCTGTTTGGAGATGAAGGTGTTCTGGGGAAAACAAACATGAATTGCCAAGTCTACATCATTCTCATCTCCAAGAGGGAGCTTGTTGGAAGAGCCTGATTCTAAAAGAGAAGCTGGCAAAGAATATATAATGTATATTATTACCATTTTTTGTTCATCAAAGACGTCATAAGAGGTGGTCAGTAGACACCTATATTTTATGCAGGTAACTCACTAATTGTTTACTCCCTCATTTCTATCATTTGACGAGAGTTGACAACAGTAAGATGTATCTATTCTAGTTTATATGTAGTAGACAACAAACTTCTTGTCTAAGGGTTCCAATGTTCGTGTAATTGAAAAGCTACCATTTAATCTGCCTGGAAATTAGGCTTCCTTTCTCTCTTTCTTTTTTTACCCCAAAAGAGGAAAGATAACAAGATTGGTTGACAATTACCTTACCTGCTGTCCCTATTTGGTCTTTAAAGGCAAATTGTTTTTTGGATGCATCTGGCTTGTTTGCGAACTTATGCGGTTATGCCTATAGTGGCTTGTATGCTATGTTAACTATGTCATTGTTCTCCTTCCTGCATGGAGAGTTTTCTAAATAACTTGTACGATGGTTCTAATCAGATTTTTTTTAATCCACCACTTCAGGTGTTATTACAAGTCATTGTAGGTCCTGTTTCCTGGATTTGTCGTAAAAAGTAGGTTGTTCTTTGGTTCTTTTTTCTTTTTCTGCTTAAACTCCTTTTTGTGCAGTACTTTATGGATCAAAGAAAGATGCCCTTGATTATGTTAAATGGGTGAAGGATGACAAGCTTTTTCATTTGCTGGTCCAGAGATTGTTGTCATCATGGGGGCATACTTTTCCAAGATTGAAGCTGCAGTACAAGCCCTCTTTTTAGCGTCAGGTCACACAAAATGATTCACGTTGTCCCTGCATGTTGTTGTTGGTGTTTTCTGCATTGCCGGCTACTTCATGGATAGTTACTTGAAAGGATCCCTTTTCTTCAGGGCGCGGATGTGTTAAAGAACTTCATTCTCAATTTTTAACTCAAGAGACTGATTACTCTTAAGCTTTTGCCAAAGGACTTCATGGATAGTTACTTCAAAGGCTGATTACTGTCAGTCTGTTTGCCATAGTAGCCTTTTATGCCCAGGATATGCCTTCTTCTACATCGACTTCAAATGGATAGAATTGGGTGTTTTTACAAGTCATTACAAGAGTGAGCTGACTGTGACAAAATCACTTTGTATTGTTGGTTCTTTACTTCTCCATATAACTTGATACTTTGTCCTAGAGATCACCTTGTTTGATTTTCCCTCTTAGTTTTGACCAGTTATAGAACGCTCACAATTCGGTCAAAAAGCAACTTCTACTTGCTTCTGGTTTTGATCTGCTAGTATCTGATAAGATTCCTCAGAGTGTTTCATCCATGCGATTCTATATCTCGTAATTTTAATAGTTTCATTCTGTTTAGTTCTTTGCCAGATGCATCCTTCCATTTGTATAATTTTTGGAGCTTGAACAGTGGCTACTAGCATTACTCTCCAGGTGGTGGAGGAGGGGCCTAAGGGTGTCTACTGTCTACTAATCTCAACTGTGCCTGGTACATACGGCCCGGCAGCTTAACTCATTCCCTCTTCCTATGGACAGTGTGTAGCCTCCAGGGATTAACTCTAGTATGTGTAACACGAGGTATATTGATTGGGTGAGTCATATGAAGAGATTGCAGATCTATTCAAATGTCGCAGAATTTCAGATTTTTGTTTTGACTTCGCACTTATCACCATGATATGTTTGACAGTTAACCTGAATTTTCTATAGCAAAGAGTTCAAAGGTGATTTCATCTTCTCACCCTGTAATCAGTACTTTCCATGACTATGTTAAGGATAGAGGTGCCCTGTCATCTTCAAATCCTGGATCCACCTTTACTTGGACCTGTAATGTGCTTGCCCATTTAACTTTGGCTATTCTTGAAGATACTTCATCTAGTTTCTCACTTTCAACTAATGGAATTACTCATTGCAATTCAACCGATTTGAAATCCCCCTAAATTTTGTATATGTAATATAATGAACAAGTTACGGAGTGCTTATTACCCTACTACTCTTCTGGGGATTTGCATTGCAGGTTGGAATAATCTATTCTTGTTTATTCCCTTCTTCATTCAGTCACAAAATCATAGTGCGTTTTCTGATACTTTAGTGGGTGGGTTGTTGCCATACATAACTTTTGGCAGTATATATACTGTATGGTTTGCTTCACTCTACTACCTAATAACTAACTTCCCACTTGTTCCTCCCCTCCTATAATGTCTTCTAATAAATACTGTCATTGAAGTTTCCATTGTAGAATATTTACTATAAAAACTTGTAGTTAGTGCCTTAGTGGAGTGCAGCAAAGAATCAGTTCATTTGGTAAAGGAAGAATATATATAGTAACAAGAGAAGAAAAAGGCTGCCTTGCTGACAAACAGTCCACTGTACCATGGCTGCCACTAAAACATATTCTCTTGCTTTTTGTACTCCATGATACTAATATAAAAAATATAAAGTCTAGTAGTACCATGTTAATACAACTTCTATATAAATAAAACTAGAGTGGCTCCAAGTTCTTGATTGGCGCTTTTCCTAACAGACCGATAGACTTGAACCTTTTTCGTCTGGACTCTGAAATTAATCATCTTCAAGTTCCAGACAGCAATGTCATCCTTTGTGATTGTCTTTTTGATCCTGTCTATGCTACTAAACACAGGGGTTGGTGTCAACTTCACCGATGTTTTCGAGTCCAGCTGGGCACCAGACCATATTGCTGTTGTAGGAGACCAAGTTACTCTCTCCCTTGACAGCGCTTCTGGTAAGACTTCATTCACTCACCTCATATCTTATATTATTGCCTATCCAATGCAATATAATTACATAACCATTTGATTGATTATGTTCATATTCACAAAGGCTGCGGATTTGAGTCGAAGTTCAAATATTTGTTTGGGAAAGCCAGTGCACAGATCAAACTAGTTAAAGGAGATTCAGCTGGAACAGTCATTGCATTTTATGTACGTGATGAAAATCATGCCAAATAATCATCAAGACCAATATATTGTTTCTTCAAACTATAACTTATGGCCTAATTATGCTGCTAATTACTGGAAATATGTGGTTTGTAGATGTCATCAGAAGGAGCTAATCACGACGAACTGGACTTTGAATTTCTTGGGAATGTTTCAGGGGAACCATACCTAGTGCAAACAAATGTCTACGTGAATGGCACCGGAGATCGAGAGCAGAGGCATGGTCTGTGGTTCGACCCAACAGTGGACTTCCACACTTACTCTTTCTTTTGGAATCATCATTCTATCATGTAAGTAATTCTTACTTCAGCCATATCTCTAAATATGTTTGAGCTTTCCATGAAACATGTAGAGGTGCAACTCCGTAGGACCGAGAGTGTTACTATTTTAGAATTTTATATTGTCAGTGTATATAAGTTAAATCTACGCTAACAATGACTAATTTTACTGGTCACATGAATTTTTTGCAGCTTTTCAGTTGATGATATTCCAATTAGAGTGTTCAAAAACAAGGAGAAGAAAGGCGTTCCATACCCGAAAAATCAAGGCATGGGAATCTATGGATCATTGTGGAATGCAGATGACTGGGCTACACAAGGAGGGAGAGTGAAGACAAACTGGAGCCACTCTCCATTTGTTACAACATTTCGATCATTCGAGATCGATGCTTGTGATTTGTCTGGTGAGGACACAATTGCTGCAGGTGCAAAATGTGGCAAGTTAGCACAATTTTTGTGGGATAAACCAGCCAAGAAGAGGCTAGAAAAGAGCAAAAAACGCCAATTCAAAATGGTTCAAAATAAGTACTTGGTGTATGATTATTGTAAGGATACTGCAAGATTCACTCAAATGCCTAAAGAGTGCTTGTATTAGAGAGACCAACACACTATTCTAGCAATGTCAATGTATCAATATGTTTCTATCTCGCAATATTGTAGCTTTTTAAGATGTTTATCCAATTTGCTAATAATTTTTTTTCTTGTTTGGCTTCTTATGTGACACTCTTTAACATTTAAGACAGTTCTATGCTTAAAAAAAAATTCAAATGTGCTATGAGTTTGAAATTTTAATTCAAATTTAACCAACAATAATAACTATGTCTCAATCTTAAATGAGTTGAGATATTGACTTATGTGAATCTTTACTGACCATATTTTTCCATTTAAATTCAACTCATGTCATCATCCTATATAATATATCAAAATCTATGATGAAGTCAAAATACTCTTAGAAAAGCAATAGGTTCAAAATCAATGTACTAGGCTACTAGCAAATGTCAAACTTTTTTCAATTAGCGAATATCATGTACTTTCTCTGTCTCAATTTATATGACTTATTTTTTTGTTTTAGTCAGTTCTAAAAAAATTAACACATTTTTATATTAAGTAACAATTTAACTTTAAAACATCAATTTTACCTTTAATGAAATGATTTATAGTCACACAAATTACTATCATTCATTTTAGACTACAAGTTTTAAAAGTATTTATTTCTTTCTCAAACTTCATGCCGAGTCAAACTATCTCACATAAAATGAGACAGAGGGAGTAACATCTTCACTACATATCACCGCATTTCTATGCGGAGGATATAAGTGGACAAGTAATTAGAGACGGGGGAGTAATAATAAGAAGTAAATAATTTGAAGAAGTTAGCCTTTCGTAAATTGGGCCTTAATAATTGGATGGCTCAAATAGAACAGAAGAATATTCCATTATCCGGTACCCGCCTTAAACCGCTGCAGTCTCCGTCATCTCTCCGGCGAGCAATTTTTCTCAATGAAGAAAGCTAAAGAGTAAAGAAGAAATTGGAGAAACAAGAAGTAATTCAAGTAAAACGATGAGTGCAATCCATTTGAGCACTCTCAGAAGCATTTCTCAGCAACCCTTTTCGCCATTCCTCCTCTTTCCACTTCCCAAATCCAAGCCCATTAACGATACAAGAATCAAAGCATCGTCAGTAAAAGAAGAAGAGGTAGAAAGGAAGATAGAAATTCGACTTTGTACAGAGAGGGCATGCAGGAAACAGGGATCCTTGGATACCCTTCAAGTTTTATCTGGAATTGCTCCTCCCTTTGTAGCGGTTAATTCCTGTGGATGTCTTGGCCGTTGCGGGGCTGGACCTAACGTCGTCGTTTTACCCGGTGCTGTATATGTGAAGCACGTTGGTACTCCTACTCGAGCTGCTGAAACTATGGCGTTCGTCTGTCTTGGTAGGGATGACGTTGAAGGAGAGAGTCGGAGAAGTTTGGAGGCTTTAGCGTTGAGGAAAAGAGCTGAAGATGAGATGGGTAATGGTAATTTCTCTGAGGCTCATGGTTTGCTCTCACAGGTGTGTGGTTTCATACTTCGCTGAATTACACTGAATCAAGTTTTGCTGAAGATATTTCTTTGAAATGCTTCTGATGAATGCTATGGATCAAAAAGTTAAGAGAGTGTTGTGGTGAGACTGACCATTGAGGTTTTTTCTACTGTCTTAACTGGATAGTGTGCCCTGGAATGAATATCAATGCATCAAATACTACTCTGATTAGTATAGTGAATGTGAGGCCATCCAAGTATTTCATGATAAAAATTAATAATCGTGAAGAAACTATTAAAAAAAAAAAAGAGAATGCCATTGATTCACATAATTTTCAACATAGAGATGGCACGGTTTATCAGAAGCTTGAGGTTTAAAAGTTCGTAGCAACTTTCCCTTTCAAGTTAATTGAAGTGAAGAATTTCTAATCTCAGACGGATACTTATGACCTAAGTTGCACGGACTCTTCACTTTCGATGCCGCACCCGTGTTGGATTCTCCGAAAATACACTACTTTTGGAGAATCCGACACGCACCCGTTGACATTTTTGAAGAGTCCGAGCAACATAGCTTATGACCAAGACGGAAAAAATGATTCAAAATTCAAAAAGCCTAGACAAGATATGTATTATGAGGACATTTTTCCCCAAGACCTAGGGTTTCCAGCCAATCTATTATCTAGTCTGCTTCAAGGAGGTTCTTTATTTCCGATGTCTGATGTAATTTTACTTCTTAAGCACCTTTCCTAGTTGTCTTGCGAATTGAAGTACTGAATTTTATATTGAGAGGGTGATAATGAGAGAATGATAATGCTAAGCTGTAGATACCAGTTCATTCACCAGACTCACAGATTTGTGTTTTGTCAGTACCAGAAAGAAATTGTAAATCTCGTTATACATATCTTTTTTGCTAGTGCATTAGGATTTCTTCCAGCGGAAATAATCTGCAGCTTTCTACAATCAACAGTGTGACCTAAGGGTCATTGAAGTTAACATGATGCTATAATCCTTTCACTATTTCTATGTTGCCATCGTTACTTATATTTTTAGCTTTACAGGTTTCGTTTAGATATGGCCTATTTGTTGTATCTAATACAAGATTGGTGCCTATCGTTACTGATGTTGCCATTTTTTTGTGCAGGCCATTGCTCTAAAGCCGTTTGGAGGTGTTCATATTATGCTCAAAGACAGGTTTATTGTGTTTAAAATCTCGTCCATGGAAAATTAAGACTTTTTGTAATCAAATAAATCTGAAGGATACACTAAATCTCTCTGTTATTCACATGAACGTGTTGCAATTTTTAGTGAAAACAACATCATTATTCTGTCCCTTGAGTGTATGTCCTGGCATTTTTTGCTCACGGCTTCCTTCCTAATTAATTTACTGAGTTTTCTTGAAGTCATTTGAAAAACTCTTGGATCACTTGATTTTGTTCCAGTGTCCAAATTTATATTTAATATTTCGTCACTAATGCCTTGTTGTCTAGATGGTCAGAATGCATGTGAACAAGATGCTGAAATAAGTGTCTTCAATCAGGTGTGCTGCAGAGTTGGCAATGGGGAATTTGGCTGAGGCACTTGATGATTCTAAGGAGGCATTGAATATTGCTCCCAATTATCCTGAAGTAATTTGGTTATTTGTTACTGCTGCTTAAGTATACATGAAAAGCATATGGTTGTGCTTAAATTAAACACTCACATTAGCGTTTTTAACCATGAGGTCTCAATTCCCTTCGTTTCCACTTCAGTATACAGCAAATACAATATATGATTGCATAATAATGTACTCTCTTTCTGCAATTATTGTAGGAACTAGGAAGTGAACATCGAATAACTATATCTACACCTAATCCCTAGTTGCAAATATTTATTAGTTTTAATTTTTACAGGGTTATATCTGCCAAGGTGATGTTTTGATGGCTCTGGACCATGTCGATGCAGCCGAGAAGTCATACTCCATGGCTTTACAGTTAGATCCGTCCATCCGTCGCTCAAAATCCTTCAAGGTGCAATTCATGTTTGTTGTAGTTCTAGAATAGAATTGGTTTAACTTTTGGCATCTGTTCTGCACTGCAAATCCTATGGCTTTAAGCTTATTTTTAAGGTTGGTTTCCTTACATCTACTTTTGGCAACACCAAACAAGAATACACAATTTCGTAAGCAAATGAAGATGTTATTTTAGAAGTGACAGAAATCTGATATAGTTCATGCAGTAATAGTTTAAATACGGTTATAACATGGTAGAAGTCTCTAGTCTAGCCTGTTGTGTCAATAATTAAATAAAGCCTCTTCTTCAATAGGTAATATCTTAATAACTGATAGTGTGTTATCAACAAGATAGGCTGGAAAAGCACATAAATTGCAAGATTGTAAAACTGCCACCAATATTGGAGGAACAAAATGATTTTAAGCTTTATATTCCTTAGTAGAACTGAAATGATTTACCAAGTTATGAATTTGCTACAAGTTA